TTGATTAATTTAAGTTCCCTAGAGAAAAGCTGCTTTCTCTTCAGTGGGCTTCGCCTGCAGACGACACCCTTGGTTAAGTCCTGTGGAGGTGCACTGTAGAGACAGATGGTTTAACCGGCCGCCAAGGAGAGTCCAAGTGTAAGAATTGAGATGTGAGAATAACAAAGAAAAGTAGCTGCTTGGTTCTCAAAGCCTTGTGTGATAGAAAAGTACATAGCCGTGGAGAAAGCTATTGTCTCTTTGCTGCAAAGTTCCTATATTAAAATCCATTCTAGTTGCTATGGGTACAGCGATGCCTTACCCCACCCCCCTTTTTTTCTTTTTAACCTGTAGTTTATGTCTACAAACTAATCCTTAAATCTCTGATAATGGAAACCTGAGTTGAGTTAAACCACCTTGGCTAACAAAGTATAAAGAAAAATACTGTGGATGGTACTTTTAATGGACTTTGCTACATTGACAGTAGACTCTCTAGTAAAGATTGATGCTGCAGTTTATGGATTGGATATCAGTTTTGGAGTAAACGAGCTGCCAGGGTAGTAGAAAATAAAAAAATTAAAAAAAATCACATCCAAAAAGGTGATTTTTAGAAGATTTATGTTGAGAACCAGTGTGTAGCAGTGTGCTCTACATTTGAAAAATAAGAAATTTCAAGTGACTATGTAGCCTAAGTCTATGTCTTCTAATTTAGCTGTGACTACAGGAGACTTTAACTTGGTCCAGCTTCGGTTCTGAGGGGTAACCCAATTGTAACTTGAATCCTTAAAGCAGTGCTCTGGCTTGATTTTCCCTAACATGTATGGTGTCTGGCTCAAATTATTATTCCAATGGAGAATTGGTCGGGGCTTGGGGGCTACTAGCCCTTGGGACCTAGCTGAAAGGGACAAAAGAAATCAGGAGAGAGGCTGGCACTAGGTAATTTGGAAGGTCTCTGCTCCCTGAAGAAGATAAAATCACATGTGCACTCGGGATGTTTACTGTGTGGCAGGTCCTATTTGTAAATAGGGCAGGTCCTCTGTATAAAGCTGGTGTTATTATTCACACCCATAGAACAAACACCTCCACCCCCCTGTTGTTGTCTTAAAAAACTCCAGCTGCTCATGAATATAGGGTCAGGGAGGGCCGGCTAAATGTTTCTCTGTGTTCGCTCTCCAGCACTGCCGGCCTGGCTGTTTCCTGTTCTTTGTTTCAAGGCTGGGGTTTGCGTCATACATTCCAAGTGGCATATGTGTGCTCTTTCCTGTTTCAGGCTGTTTTCTGGTCGATCAGTAGCCTAAACCAGGCCATGGTCCCTGCCCCTAAACTTCGTACCCCCACCCATGAGTTATCATGTCTCTACACTGCGATTGCCTAAGATGCCTGTGTTATGTCATAATGAGAAGTCGTTAACCTTTTCACACACACTCCTTGCCCCACTGTTTATTGGGGCAAATCAATACTTTTACCTTTTAAGATATATTCCATCATTGAATTATGATGTGAGGGAATTCCTACGCATATTGACACATCTAAAGGAAGTTTTTGTAATTTTCCTGTGAAGATGGGTAGAGCCATGGTTTTAAGATAGGCATATTGCCTTGAGGCTGCCAAATTTAAATCAGTATTGGTACACTATAGTTGAAGATCTTGCATTATGCCAAAGCTGCGACCCACCCTTGTTCATTTTCTCTTGGGCTGCCCAGGGTAGGCCCTGAGGATGGAGAGTTTAAATATCTTGGCCACCTGGGCTGGGTTGGAAAGCTGCTTGTTTTGGAGAAACCTCTAGAAAAGTTATTCAAGCAAAGCATGGCATGTATTGAGGGGGAATAAATCCCAGGTTTATTTCTTTTAAGGATAAAGATTAAACCAGCAGAGTAATTTTTTTTTTAAGGACAAAGAGTATACTTTATCCTAGAGTTGTTTTCCAACCCATTTTTAAATAAAAATCTTGAGGAGAGTTAGGTACTGGTTGGTTTTCTTTAATGGTAGTTTGGGAAATTGTTATCTACTTTGAAAACAGAAGGATGGTTATCTTTCATAATACCAGTTTTTTTTCAGCTTTCACTTGTGGCTTCATCAGTCTGGATAAACTGTTTAAAACTTACTGTAACAAGTTTTTGGGTTTTTTACCCCCTCTGAGCTCTTGAGAAACTGTTTTTTAAAACTGGGTTGGGTGCAGGGACTTCTATTTTCTTCAAACTTGGGGAATTGTCTTTAAAACCTAAAGGAACGATCTACAGGGATGCATAATGGAATTAATTCAGGAGACACTAACGCTCAGTCCTGAGCTGCAAGTGTTGAGAATAGGTAATTGCTTTTAAATAACCCATCCTGCTACAGTTACAAAAGAAAGATACAAATTGATACAAAGTGAAATATTCCATCTGCCTCATGTACAAAAGTTACTAGGGCCAAACAGTTGGCTAATGATACCTTAAAATCTTGGGAGTAGCAGAAATTCCCAGTAGGTTTCTTCCTTTCCGTTGGAACAAGGCAACTTAAACTATTAAGCTGATTTGTAGAACAAGAGACCTTTAAGCTGAAGCTCATAAGTCATCCACATTGAAGCAGGGTTTGTTTGTTTTATTATTATTACAAAGTTGCTAGCAGCCCAACTAGATTGGGTAGACAAGGTTTTTTCCAGATCATTCTTTCGGCTTGGGTGGGGCAGGGAAGTGGCTAATAGGATTGATTAGGGTCTAATATATTCTATCAAGTGCTGCAAGCTTTTACATGCTGTATTAAATTGTTGGGGAAATTGTCATTTTCTTTGTAGTCCCTATAATTATAAGACATAGGAACAATAGTTTCATCTCTTCACCATGTAACTCTCATCATGGCTAATTTAACTTCATTGTCTCCAGGTTCTTGCCTTTTCTTGCATTTTCTCATCTACACTTTTGCTATAAAGTGGTGGCCTTCCTCAGTGTTGCTGGTTTTACACCCATTTGCATCATTAAAAAAGATATACGCAATCTTGTCCTTTAAATAACAGGAATTATGTTTTTCTGGACATTGATCACTTTCTGAGGTGACTAGTTATCATTGATCCTAGCTTTTATGGGGAAAGAAATTCCTAGACTCTTAGGGCAATTACCACCAGATTTGCTAAATGATTGTTTTCTCAGTCTTGCCTCTGAGAGTGGGTTGGGAGAGGAGGGGATGGTTTGCAGGGTTCTCATTTCAGGCCCTGTCTTTCCAGACCCTACTTCTCATCCTGGGCTGTCATACCAGAGCTTGGAGACAGGAAACCAGACAGAGTCTGCCCTGATAAGGGAGAGTATTGTCTAAAGGAGGTAGCCCTGCTCCCCCACCCCACCCCAAAGACTCTTGAAAGTTGGTATGAAAAAGAACACTGCTTTGCAGATGCTGTGCAAATCGGGACTAGAGGTGTTTTCTCTCAAAGCAAAGGGGGATATATATTACACAGACACACACACATACACACACACACTCCTCAACTTTCCATACCGACTGTGACCTGACCATTAAAGAAACTGTCCTCTGTGCCTGGGTCTGCGTGTTTGTTGTAAAGTTCTGTGGCAAAAACTGTTTGCTGGAGGTTTTTGAAATCCATTTCCATCGTGTTGGCAGGCTGAATACATTATCATTTCCCCAGCTAATTGGGCGGGGGGGGGTTTAGACTGACAAGCAGACTCCTGGCCTGTGCACTCTGTTTAACCCCTGCTCTAGCTTCCCCCCTGATTTCAGAAGGGCGGTGCCCCAGAGGGAAGCCCTCCCAGGGGTGTCACCTTAAGTACAGCCTAGTCTGGGACATACTCCAGTTGCCAGTCTTGGAAGGTTTAGGAGTCTGGCAAGGGGTGGTAGGGATCTGGATCAGCCCCCATCCAGGGAGCACAGCTCAGCCTGGGCAGGAGGGATGGAGACTGTTGAAGTTCAGGCTCACTACCCTGGAGAGCAGCCTGGGTTTGTCTTCTGTGGCCTCCGCCACTCTTTCCAAGAAGGCTGTTGGTGTGTAATCACGGCCGTCCACCCATGTCCACTCATTTCTCTGTGCTGTACTTTATACCCGGGTACTGTCAAAGCGGCGCACCCACTCCCAGACACTTTGATCAGGGAGATCAATTCTGCTTTCCCTCTTCAAACATGGTTCTTCTGTCTCCCCTATCTCCTTAAAGGGTTCCCAGTTTGCATTTTAGGAGATGCTGGCTTCCCTGGCCTCGGACCCAAGCACGTCCCAGGCTCTCGCCTTTGTGTCTGTCTTACATGAGAAGTGTGATTTGACATCCTTACATTTGTTCATCTCCCAGGCATTTATTGAGCACCTAGTCATTAGTGCTAATCTCACATTGTGTGTAACCATTATTCTGAGTTATGCCACAGGATGGAGGGGAGCTGCCGTGAGTGATCTAACCTGAAAAGGCATTTTGAAATCTTAATTGCTGTTGGAACCTCCCCACAGCACTGCTTACCATGGACCAGTGTGTGCACCACACCCTGTGTATTGGGGAGTGACCCCAGGGTGAGGTGATTCCACCCAAAAAAAAAAAAATGGCTCCCTCCACCCAGGCTCTGCGTAACAGAAAGCCCCGGTCTGAAAACAGGCACACTTGGGTTCTTGGCTGCAGCTCCACAAATGTGGACAAGTACAAGTCACTTCTCTTCTTCCTCTGTTTCCTCGTTTCTAAAATGGGGGCGAAGACCTGACCCCGCCACCTTTGTGTAGTTACTGCGAGGATTTCCGTGTTTACTTGGGTGAAGCTGCCAATTTTTCTCAGCAGTTTTATGGACCAATGGCAGGTGCATTGGCTAGCAAGAATAGTAACCTAATTCCGGACTTTCAGAATATGTTTTTTGATCTTGTGTCCAAATATGCTTAGAAAGAAGGGCGCCACCAGGGCCACTTGGAAAGGGTTAAAATTATTCCTGTAAGGTTGTCCCTGAGTTCCATTTTCCCCAAGGACCAGTTTCTTAGAAGTCACTGTCCCACTCTTACTAGCGTGCAGTCCTGTGTCTGTGGTTGGCAGTTGAATGGTGTGCCAAATTGCCAGCCTTGAAGTCAGACAGTGAACTTGAGTTCGAGTCCTGGCTCTCCAGCTGTTCACACTTGTCGGGTTTTTTAATAAACCTCATCCTTTAAGTGTTTTCATCTGTGAAATGAGAAGGCAATTCCCACTCAAGGCCTGAACTGACAGATGCGTATGGAGTAGGACATTCGTCATGAAGGTGGTGACCAGCAGGACAGACATCCTTTGTTTTCATTGGTCAACAGAGATAATCCTCTGGTTTTGAGACAGGGTCTCTCCATGTAGCCCAGGCTGGGGTCCTGTGATCCCTCCTGAGAACTGGAACTGTTGGCATGTACTACCAGCCCAGGCAGAAGATGGTAGAGATAAGGTCTCCAGAACTGGATAGCTACTCCAGACTTAGGTGAGGGACAGCAACTTCTTAAGGAAGTTTTGATCATTAACTTCCTGTAGGGCTGGGCCCTCCCCCACCCTTGGAACAAGCTTAGGAACATTTCAAGTGTGCTCCCATGACTGCGGAAGTCCTACTCAGGGCTTGGTTGCTTGTAATTAATTATTATTGGGGGGGGAGGGGTTGCTTGTTTTGTTGTTAATGCCTTGGGCCTAGCACCGAAAGAAACACCTTTGTTCTTTCATTCCGCCTTGGGATTAGGGAAGGAGCCTCCTCAGGTGTGGGGAGGCACCTGCATGGACCCCTTTGGCTGTGCTGAGAGACACACCCAGCTTGTCTAGGTAAGAGGTGGCCAACCTGGATGTACTAGGGCACAGTCAGCTGGCCACATAGGGAGGGCCTTGAGCAGGTCTTTGAAGAATTAGGAGGATTTAGATAAGCCGGAAGAGGAGGGGGCATTCCACACTGTTGCCCAGCGTCAGGGCCAACAAAAGCCTGGGGTTGGGGAGGGGGGAGGCAGGGCCACTTGGAGAGCCTGGGCTGGGTAGGAAGCTGGTGACAGGCACTGGCAGTATTGCCCCACCCCAGCAGCTCAGGCTCCCTTGGAGGAGGGGCCAGATAAGTTAGGGACTGGTGGCAAGGGGGCTGGGCTATGTTACTGGGTCACAGACTTGGAGGTGGGGAGCCTTGAGGACCTGGCCCCCATGGCAGCGGCGGAAATGGAGAGAACGGGGCGGGGGGGGGTGGACTTCACAGATGACCCTAGGTTTCCATGGTGAAAGACCAGAAAATAAGGCGAATGGAAGGCGGGGAGGGGCAACCTCTTAGAGAAGGGGCTGGGAGGAGGAGAGGAGGGTTTGGGCTGGAGCGATGTTGCCCAGGAGTGGTTGCAAGCAATTTCTGGTTTGTGTTTACTCGTGAAGGGGAGGGCAGCTTCCCCCTGCACAGTCTTGCGTCTGAAGGTACAGTCCTGTGAGGTCAACTTCAGTGGACACTCCATGCACCAGGAACTACACCACCGCGATGGTTCCCTCTGGTTATTTTTAAGGTCCTAGCCATCCTTGCTCAGGCTGGAATTTCCAGGAACTGGTTGCCGCCTGGAGCCAGTTGGGTCCCTCCCAGCCTTCTTCCCACTCCCTGCAGGGTGGGGCCCCACGGGTGGAGACCCAGCAGGGTGGAGTGAGGTGGGTCTCCAGTGATAGGGCGTCTCGTGAGCCGGGGAGATGAGAGGCCGTGTGGCCTCAAGCAGCCCTTCTGGATTTGATTATATAACGCCTCACAGAGGAGAGCTGTGAGGGCTTAGGCAAGGCCTCAGGAGCCCGGTACACAGCAGGATTAGCCATTGCGGGTATTTTTCAACTTATCCTGGGTTGCCTGCCCTTAAAACTGAAACACAGCATTGCCAGGGAGCATAAAGGAGGCAGACAAGTGAAACCCAAGCACCAAGCGGGGCCCTTGAACTTGGAGTTCCCTGAAGGGTAGCATAGGCTTGGCTCCCCGCCCCCACCCCGTTGGAAGGGGCTGGTGTGGGAAGGTGGAGGGCTCTATGCTAGTCACCTTTGCACCTGTCCTCATGTACACGTAAAGTCAATTGCTTCACCCGCTCTTTCCGAAGTCCAGGGTGTGGGCAGACTCTTATCTGAAGCCGTGTCCTGTTTGGACAAGTTGGACTCGCCCTGGCAGCTCTCCATGGGGTGGAGCAGATGGGTGGAGGCAGAAAAGTAAAATTGGGTGGCCTGTTCACCGAGGAGAGGAGGAGGAGGGTGGACTGTTTGCTCTCTGGGTCATTATATTCCATCTGCAGAGAAATCATCCACTTCTCCCTTTCACGAAACACGGTAATGCAAACATAATTTATGAGAGGCAAAGATTTGGAGCTGTTCTGTGGGATCCTTTCAAGTCAGCTATAGAAGACTGAGGTGGGTGAAAAGACTTGGGTGGTGTGAAAACCGGACACCCTTTCAGGTAGGTACCAGCCCTAGCTCTCCTTAAGCTAGCCTCTGGCTCAGGTGTCTGCCTCTGTGTTTCTGGACTGGCCATTGCATAGTCCTCCCCATCAGTGTACTCTCTGGGAATGCTCAAAGAGTTTGCTAAAGAAAGGAAGATCACCTCCTGGGACCATGCTTGCCCTCCTGGCCAAGATACACAGAGAGCTCAGTTAGATTTTACCCCAAGGTTCTTTGGAGAGAGGGTGGAAACCATTGATACACTTCCTCATTTGAAAATTCAAACACTTGGGAGTGAAAAGGGCACTTGCCGATTATCGCCTGTTGGGTTGTCTAATGGTGCTGTTCTCTGCACACCTGGCTGAGGTTCCCTTTGAGGGAGGAGGGTGATTGGATTGTGCCTTAGGGTTAGGCTGGGTGGGAAGATAGTCACCAGCGGACCCTATGAAGACTGAAGGAAAGATTCAGGGACAGAAAGGGGAGAAAAAAGAGGAATGTTGGGCAAACCTTGGCTTGGCAAACTCGCAAGCTGAGAAGAAGTCTTGGGACTTTCTTTCCCCACCCCCAGCCATTCTCTCTCTTAGGAAGCCTTGGTACAGTGAGTCTAGACTGCTTGCTACAAGAGCTGTGTCATTTCTAGAAGCCACCTAAATGACTCCACAGGCTTCTGATACGTAATTCTGCAGTTTTGTATGCTGACAGAAATCTGACCCCTGATCCAGTTTGACCCTTAGAGTCAAAAGTAGAAGTGGGAGGGGGGACTCGGAGGGGACGTTACACTTAAATGAAAATTCAGTTTTACAGGCCCTTTCCTGAAAAATGACCTAGTTTTTCCACTGGAAAGTTGTTTGGGCAAAGGTGTTTTTTCTATATTGTTGTTTTTATTAAGCATCTCAATAATTTAGCCTTTTAAAAAAGTGGGTTTTTTCTGTTTTATCCTGCCGTCGCTTAATTCAGATTGAGAGTGTTGAGCAAAACAGAATTAAGACGTAAATGTTCACTTGACTGGAAAACAAAAAGAAAGAAAAAACAACCACATTTGAGGCTCATCATCTCTTCGATGCCCACATAAAGTGGTTAATAGGATTGCTCAACTTGGTTAAAGCCCACAAGGTTTTACAGACCCTGAGTGGGGCAGATGTCTCTTCTGCCTGTGCCTTAAGGCTCCAATGCCTGTTTTACTGCGCCACCTACTGGTTGTATTTAAAATTGTCAGTGTGGTAAGACAGGGTTTCTCAGTAGCAATGGAGTGGAGCCAATCCTGGAACTCATTCTGTAGACCAGACTGGCCTTGAACTCAGAGATCCACCTGCCTCTGCCTCTGAAGTGCTGGGATTAAAGGTGTGTGCCACCAGACTTTTGGTGGTTTCACGGTCACTTTTTAAAAACTGGTGAGGTGTGGTGGTGGTACACATCTGTCCTTCGACCACTTGGGAGGCAGAGGCAGATGTAGAGCTGAATTCTAAGCCAGCCTGGTTTAGTAGTAAGCTCTAGGTCAGCCAAGGCCATGTAGTGAGACTCTGTCTCAAAGGTAGAAAAAGGACCTTTTAGAAAAGATAAACAGCTGCAGAGCACGGCTCTGTTTACAGACCCTGGGTCTTACAGGTCATAGCTTACTTTTTAGTTATATGGAAGGTACTTTGGTTGCACTGTGGTCATTTAAATATTAACTGGAGTTCAAGTATGAAGGGTTGACCCGTGGCCCTTTGGTGGTAGGCAAGCATTCTGCCGAGAGTCTCACACACACACACACACACACACACACACACACACATACACCCTTCCCTGGTTCTTTACCAGAACCCATAAAGTCTAAAGCAATGGCCTAGGCAGTCGTACAGAGAAGCTGCTGCCTGATGTGTTCCATTTATTCTATTGTCTTTCTCCTTTGTATCTTTAAACTGTGGAATTAACAGACTTACACGTCACCACATGATCTGTGACTCCAGGTTTGCTCTCGGCTCTCTTATGAGTCCAAAGATCTAGGTACATACCACCACATGTGACCCCACAGAAGAGCTTAACAGCTGAGGGTCCCAGGCATTTATCCTGCTTTATCTACTGCTCCAGGGATGGAAACCAGTGACTCTAGTCTTGTGCGTGTTTAGTAGTGCTTAGTGCCACAGATCCAAAGGCGGTGAGGTGAGCAATTCAGAGGGAAAGGGATCCTAAAACTTGAGAAGGAAGGAGTGAGTGTGGTCTGTCTCCTGCTTATGAGAAGTATTGCCTGGGGACTAGAAGTCAGAGGCCTCAGAGCCAGGTCTCTTTCCTTCCACACCTGGGAATGTAAGCAAAGAGCTAACCCTGTTGTGGGATAGATTCCCAGTGAATTCCCTTTAAAGGGCCGAGGTGTTGATGGGAAACTCTCTGACCTTATCAATGGAAGCAGAGTTGTCAACTAGCTTTATGGTCCCTAACAATAGGTGCTGCACCTTTCTTTAAGGTTTGGGCCTGGACAGGTCCTAGAGCCCCATCAGTGAGTGAGTGTGTGTGTGTGTGTGTGTGTGTGTGTGTGTGTGTGTGTGTGTGTGTGTGTGTGTGTGTGTGTGTGTGTGTAGGGGGGAATGTCTCAGAATCCAAGTAGACTTTCTCAAAGAAAGAAATTGTAAATAGCCAGCTGAAAGTAAAATGATTTACCAGAATGGAAGCAAAGACTCTTTAACTGTGGGAATCTAGTACAGAGAGTGTCAATGCTGTCTGTACCAGGAAGCATTTGGAAGCTAAGGGTCCAAAAATGTCTTATTTTTTATTCCTTTCCTGTGTGTGCACAGAAGCACACACGGCATTTGAAGGGCAACTTGCTCCTGCCCCGCGTGGGTTCTGGGTGAGAACTGTGCTCATTAGAACTTAGCAGCAGCCCTGCTTGTCTGGCCCTTGTGTCTAATGAAAGGTGACAATCTACAGTGACCTTCTCACACAGCTGAGCTTGATGATTTGAGTCTTACAAAGGATCGTTTTTTTTTTTTTTCCAATGGAGTGTTAAGTGGTCGTAAAGGTACTTAACAGTGTGGTACTGCATTCCCACTTAAAAGAGTTTGGGGGTTAACACAGGTATCAATGATGGTTGCTGCTCTGTTTCTTTCTCCCTGTTTTTTTTTTTCTGTGATGATTGTGGGGTTGGAGTGGATCTTCTGCTGAGCTGCCCAGTAATGCCAAGCAAGGTTCCTGCCAGAAGAGGCTGTACATATTGTTCAGAAAATGTCAGGGTCTGTATAGTTGAGTAAGAAATGCCACTTCATTTAGTCCTGCCTGTGAGGCCTGGTTTTATTATATGAAAGGGTATCTTTTATAGTAGGTAAGGGAAACAATTCTAGCCACTCCAGAGGTGAGAGAAGATGGAGTGGACAGATGGGTAAAGGGGTGTTTTAGTTTTAGTTTTCTTAGTTTTTGTGACCTCAGGATTAAAGACTAGGCATGTTTTGTTTTCCAGGCCAAACATCAGAACACCCTAGAAGGCTTAACTAAAAGAATGCTCATGTTTGACCCAGTCCCTGTCAAGCAGGAGGCCATGGACCCTGTCTCTGTGGTGAGTTTCCCAAGACTGAACAGCTCTCTTAACTGATAACATTATGTGTTGTGTTGTTTACTAAAGTGCTCCTTGTTTGACAGGCAGGTGGCACTTCTCAGAGTCCCCAGTAATAAATGAGGTGCCAGTATCCATCCTTTGGACCCACCGCCCACACCTCTAGATAGGGTCAACCACGGGCCGATAGTAAGTTCACAAATGTATGTGTAAAATACATTGAGAATAATGGAAATTTTAAAAAAAGAAGAAAGCATTGACGGGAGCCATGTGGGGCTACGGCTCTGTGAGGGATGGGGAGGAGAAGCCAGCCAGAGAGGGGCCTTGGCAGCGAAGCCTGAATCTTACTGCATTTGGAATAGTCCTCGGATGGCTGGGAATTACATCCATGTTTCTTTTGTATGCCCAGGCCACCGGGGACTGAGACTCAGTCCAGGTGTTTGGGTAGGGCCAGTCCCAGTGCCGTGGAGATGAGACACGGTGGCAAGGAGGTACCGACTTCCAGAGCAGGAGCAGTTCAGACATGAGAGGATGTGGTTTAGTGGATACTGACTAACAAGACGGCCCTCCCGGTCTGTCTTGCTTCTTTTCTTCCATGGGATTGGAAAATATTCACAAGGGGAAAATATCTTGGCCTGGATGTGTATCTGAAGACTGGGTATGACACGCTTGCAAAATTAGATCATCCGTATGCACTGGCTGCGGAAGTTCCTGCCAGAGATGCTTATACAAGACACGGGGTCAGTCTGAGGCGCTTGGAACGCAGTCACCATGGATTTTAAAGCCAGTGACTTATTACAGTTGTCTATAGTGAAAAGTGAAGTGAGGGCATCTTTGAAGAGACAGCACTTATATTCCAGCGCAGTGGCTAGATGATGCAGTTATCAATGTCCCGGTGGGATAATCGAACAGTTAGAATTATACTCATCAAAGAAACAGGCTTTTCTTCTAAAGCTTTGCTGCACTATCATCCCCCCTCCCCCTTCCCGTGACTGCCGCAGTGATCATGTTTCAGGAGAATGAGAGTTAAAAGGCAGCCACATTTCTTCAGTTTTTAACCGGAGAATATAATGTGTATAAATGGTACATGGCCATCATTGGTACATTTGACTGGTGCACATCCAGTGTTCTTAAGCATGAAAATATGGCTTGTGAGCCCAACTGCAACTAACCTGTGAAGACCCACATTACCAAACTGGTATTATGAGATAACCAAGTCTGGAGAATGCCCCACAGACTTGCCTAGAGGCCCGTCTGCTGGAGATGTTTTTCTTGTGTCAAGGCGACAAAACAAAAACCAGCAACAAAGCACACATGTAAAGTTGAAATGTGTAAAAGTATTTTTGTAATTAATGAACTTCTTCTCCTTCGTGTGCTTCACCTGACACGGAATCAGTTTCATTCTGTCTCCAAAAGTTGATTTTAGTCCTTACAGTGGGAGGCGTTCACAGTTGTGCCCCTCAGGTCAGGGTCATCGCCCCCGTCTTCGTAGGAAGCGGTGGAGGGTTACCTTCCGAGCGCTGGCCATTTGTGAGGAGGCTGGGTTTGTTTCCATTGAGACAGTCTTGCTATGTACACCATACTGGCCTTAACTCATGGAGTCCTCCTGCCTCAGTCTTCTGGGTGCTAGGATTGCAGGCATGTCCCGCTGTGCCTTGCTTGTAAGATTTTTACAGACATTTTTGTCCTGTACACTGGTACTTTGCTGATGTGTGTAAGAGCATGGAGTAGTATGCGAGGAGGCCAGAGGAGGACATTGGGTCCCCTGGAACTGCAGTCACAGACAGTTGTTATTAGCGCTGCCAGGCAGGTGCTGGGAACCAAACCCGGGTCCTCTGCGAGTGCTGGGGGCCACCTCTCTGGCCTCCAGAGAAATTTAGATCCTACCACAAAAAGCATCACAGTGTTGCTGTGTCTGTCCACATGTCTGTCGTCACTTCCACCATATTTATTTTTAAAGAAAATCCTGGCCAGAGTCATCTTGTTTTATTTGTCAGAGAAAGTGAGGAAACAACATTCTTCTTTTACTGAACTATAAACCCTGTTACAGGCTGTGCACGTGACGAAAAGGCCTTCTGGAAAAGGTTGAAAACTAGACGTTCTGACTCAGGCAGTCAGAAAGAAAACAAACTGAAGAAAGAACCAAATTTAAAAATATTTTTAAATCTTTCTCTAAATTTCCTTTGAAGTCCTCTTTTTCTTTTCTGGTGACCCTTGTCACCCAGCGAACCCCCTGTTCTGTGAGAGGTACTTAAAACTCGTCATTTCCCGAGCTCTGTCCCAGTAGCAACCCTTGGTGGTTTTCCTGGGCCAGGTGGATAGAAAGCCATCTCTGTTTGCCTCAGAACATTTGCTGAGCCCAGAGCAAGTGTTTATGAACGTGCCCCGCCTTCTGCCTTCCTGTCCCCAGAGCCCCACCTGTGGTCTGAGGACTCCTTCATAGCCCTGTCACAGATGCTCCTTGTTTTCATCAGCAGCAGACTTCCTGTTCCTGTCACTTGTCCCACCCACTTACTGTCTTCTAAAGAGAACTCTCCAAAGCTGTTCCTAATAAAATACGGAACTGGAAATTCTCACTGTATAAACTAATAGTAAGACCCTGGGGGAGTAGCCCAGCCTCTGACTAACCCCCTTCCCACCCACCCTGTATCGGCATTATCCCGAGCGAGCCCCACCAGGAGTGAAGCCCTGCAGAGAGCTGATTAATTCATCCCAGACATCCAGACATGGAGTGCTTATGAAGCTCTTCCTCATATTCCAGTGACAAGCAAGTGCACACAGCAGGGGAGAAAAGAACCCAGGGCTGGGGGAGGAGCTGGCAGACCCTTGTCTGTGTCTGCTCTTTGGATGGCTGTGTTGCAGAAGATGGGGTAGGGTGGACACTGGGTTTCCAATTATGCCTGTTAATGGCCAGAGAAGAATTTTCTGTTCCAACACTTGCCTTAGTGTGTATTTGCAACCTATTGAACCACCTAGGAGTCATCTAGACCAGTGGGCTTAGTGGGGTTTACATCCCAAGTCACACCTGATGCGCATCAGTTTTTACACTGTGCATGCCAGATGGGTGTCGGCCACTGCAATAGGCTGTGTGCTCCACCCAAATAAAGTAAACCTGTAGAAAAGGTTCTGGAACTTGCCAGTGAGCCAATTGGAAGGACCACATTTCTTTGCCCTTTTGTGAGTCATTTGAACTGGAAATAGTTAATTATGTACTCAGAGTTGAGTGTCTGGCCAAAAGTACCTCCCTGCACTTATCCTGGGACTTTAAAGTAGACTTGCAGCCAGTACAGAGAACAGGGAGATTCATTCGCATTGTGTATAAAAATGCAAAGTGTGTATTAAACTCAACTTGGTGTGTGGCTTTTTCTTCCTTGACGGACTTTGCAAACCCTGAGGATGTTATTAAATTTGCAAATCCCCCAGGTTCAACCTGAATTCCCAATTCATGCCACGGATAGAAAATCCAGCAGTGACAGGGATGAAAGTATGTCCTCATTCTGCTCCCTGTTCAGCTGCCAGCAACTGTGAGCCTTAAAATCTAGGTCACTGGGAGGTCTCGGAAGCACAGGGCTGAAAACCAGGAAGATGCCGCCCTGCAGGGAAGAAACACATGGCCGCCACCCATAAAGAAAGCCTCTGAAGCTCCTTAATCACCGAGACCCTCTTTATGCACAATGTCCAACTTTTAAGTGAGCCTTTTGATAACACTTATTTGTGTTGCTGTGTAATTTGGACCTCTTGTCTTATACTTGGGTGTGGCCAGCTCTAAAGAAAGAGTTGCTGGTGCAGACCAACACTTGAGAGGCAGAGGCAGGAGGATTGCTCCAAGTACAAAGCCAGCCTGAGCTATGCAGTTAGATAAAACAAAAATGCAATTTTAAATAAGAGGGGGATGTATGGATTGCCGTTATTTATTCAACCCTCCATCCCTAGCTGAAAGCTGATGCCAAAACCTTGTGTCTGGTACTTTCTGGTTTATTCCTTTGCATATTTTGCACAGTATCGGTAGTTTTATTCCCCCCATCTTTCAGGTGATCTTTTACTTTTTATCTCTGTCATTTAGTGCTTTGCTAAGAAAGGTGTTCCCCCAGGGGCAGTGGAAGTCACTGGGTCACACAGGTAATAAGAGCTAGGTTTAGAAGCGCAGAAGAAAACAGCACACGGTCCTAAGTTAAGAAAGTGACATTGGGATGGAGGGGTGGCTTGCTGCTCTCCCAACAATCTCCTCCGTGAATTCAAGGCCAGCCTGGTCTACAGAGCGAGTGCCAGGAAAGGATCCAAAGCAACACAGAGAAACCCTGTCTCGAAAACAAAATAGAAGCAGTCTCATTAAAGGTTAGGAGAGAGCCGGGCAGTTGTGGCGCACGCCTTTAATCCCAGTACTTGGGAGGCAGAGGCAGGCGGATCTCTTGAGTTTGAGACCAGCCTGGTCTACAAGAGCTGGTTCTGGGACAGCCTCCAAAGCTACACAGGGAAACCCTGTCTCAAGGAGGAAAAAAATGTTTAGGAGAGAAGAAAAAGGGGACACCAGAGCTAGATAAAGCCTGGTGATGAAAGTCTCATAGCCTGGTGCCCTGTTCTGGGTGATTTGATGGCACTAGACCCAGAGTGGCTCTTTGATAAGGGCAAACAATTACAAGAGTTCATAGTCAGGCAGCAGGTGGTGTAGCTGCCCTGCTTTTGGTGGCATCAGTGTTGACTCCTGAAGAAGGCCACAGGCCTTTGGTGATGCAAACCGCTTTAGAATGCAGCCGGGTAGGTGTCACCCTTCACACTGACTGTGAAAATCGTAGTATTTAGTTTGTCTTGGCCCCTGTCACAGTATCTAGCATTTGCTAAACCATCCCCTACAGTTTCTCAAGGGCCACTCGTCTCCATCTAAAGTATGTCTCTTTACACTTTTTCCTCTCTTTCATTTCTGATAGTCCTACCCGTCGAATTACATAGAATCGATGAAGCCCAACAAATATGGGGTCATTTACTCCACACCGATACCTGACAAGTTCTTCCAGACCCCAGAAGGCCTTACTCACGGGATACAAATGGAGCCGGTGGACCTCACTGTGAACAAGCGGGGCTCGCCACCCTCTGCTGGCAGCTCTCCCTCCTCCCTCAAGTTCCCATCGCACCGGAGAGCATCCCCTGTTCTGAGCATGCCGCCCTCCAGCCCGCCAATTAAGAAGTACTCGCCCCCTTCCCCTGGCGTGCAACCCTTCGGTGTACCACTGTCCATGCCACCAGTGATGGCAGCTGCACTGTCCAGACACGGAATCCGGAGCCCTGGCATCCTCCCTGTCATCCAGCCCGTCGTGGTGCAGCCCGTCCCTTTTATGTACACCAGCCACCTCCAGCAGCCACTCATGGTCTTGTCAGAAGACATGGACAATTCAAACGGTAGCATGCAAGGTAAATTCTGCCATGCCTCTACGTCCGGGTACCTGCTTAGTAGACCGAGTCTCCCCCAGGAATCTGATGACTCTAGGCAGAGCTGTTACATCCTTCAAAGGACCGCCTGGCCTGCCCCTCCGGCAATTCTTTCTGTTTTTGTTTTGAAGTGTTGATATTGGGAGAACGTCAATAATTAGTTACTTTCTCAGTATATTCCATATTTTGATTTACTGAGTGTCAGCATGGTTCTGGGCACAAAAGGGACTTAAATGCTTTCTGATCACGCTGCTAATGGCCCTTAAAAGGCACCTGCTTACCAGCCGTAGACTGAAGATAGCCAGACTTTGTAAGAGTCATCCTGTAGTGTGGGGGCCTCTCTCTGCTTCAAGAGAAGTGGAGATCCCTTACAAATTGATTCCTGCTATAGTGTAACCCTTGCCAGAGGAGAAATTTGCATGCATAAGTGCAGTAGCTAGAAGCTGGACAGTGAGTGAGCTTTGCCAGAGGAGAAATTTGCATGCATAAGTGCAGTAGCTAGAAGCTGGACAGTGAGTGAGCTTTGCCAGAGGAGAAATTTGCATGCATAAGTGCAGTAGCTAGAAGCTGGACAGTGAGTGAGCTTTGCCAGAGGAGAAATTTGCATGCATAAGTGCAGTAGCTAGAAGCTGGACAGTGAGTGAGCTTTGCAAGCTGAAATCCATACATTGTGTGTAGAATGATTTTCTCTCTTTGTTTTTCAGTACCTGTAATTGAATCATATGAGAAGCCCATGTTACAGAAAAAAATTAAAATAGAACCTGGAATTGAACCACAGAGGACAGACTATTACCCTGAAGAAATGTCACCCCCTTTAATGAACTCAGTGTCCCCCCCGCAAGCCTTGTTGCAAGAGTAAGTATACTTAGGTGTCCCTGGTATTTTAGTAGTGCCATGAACCTGGGGCATGTGGAGCGGAGCATAGAATTGCCAACGCGTGATACGCTGTGGGTGACCAGGGACGCCGTGTGTCGTGTGGTGTCACTGGGCGGTGCCTTGGTAACAGTGGCCAAGACAGTCTCCAAGAACAAGAACCACATCTACAGCAGTTCTGCCAACTTCAGCGAATGGGTCCCCCAAGGGGACCTCATGAATCTTTTCCCCCCTTTTTCCATCCGTCTGGGATAATGTATAGTGTTCTCATGAAGACTGGATTTGATGCTCACATCAGCTTGAATCCCAGAAAGTTTTCTCATGTCAAACAGAAGCCATCCCCCTCCCCACAGTTGTCACTTCAAGAGTAGTTTAGTGTGCCTCGCATTGAAAATGGCCTTTATTAAAATCTTGGGGCCAACAACAGTGTTGGCCCCAGTTTTCCCTGCAGCTCCGAGAAGCTCAGCGCTGAAGGAAATCTTTGCATTGCATCTTTAATCGTAGCTCCCCATGGAGCCTCCCCTCGCTTGCCGGGCTGCAATTCAGTAGGAAGGATGTCTGCCTTGACCAGCGTCTGAACATGTCCTTGAACAGGACGATTCCGAGTGTGGTTAAGTCACAGCATTCATGAGAAGATGACCTTTGACCCTGGTGCTGTGCTCCAGCACATGTGGGACCACCAGCTAAACTAATTCTCACTCCCCAAACCCTGTTTTGTTTTTATTGTCATTACAACCGTACTCTCTCCGTCCTATAGTGCTTCTGCATTGGGTCCAGTGGTCAGCCTCAAGGCCGCAGCCACTGGCCTTCAGGGTCCCTCCCATCATCCTTCTCCCGCGTCACCTTTTCTCTGGCTTCAGTAAATACTTTGCCCGCCTTTCCTGTCTCCTCCCCTCTGGTCACAAACTCAGCGGAGTATGGGTTCTCTAGCTTTACAGCAGCTGTTTCTGGTGACGTCACATCTCCTTGCAGTCACACCCGCCTTTGGCCTCTGTGGCTCTCATAGTGGCCACCACACCGAGCTCTTTTGGTATGTCACTGATGGCATAGAGTCCCTAATGCATGGGAAGGGATGACTCCTCCCCAGCTGCAGCGTCAGGCAAAGGAAGTATCTTGGAAGCCTTTGCTCTCGTTTCTCACGTTGCGTAGAGCTTCCCTTAAAAGCTCAGTTGTGGGGTTTTGTCTGTTTTCTCATGGTCCACCTGCATTGGCCTCCTTAGAGTGCCAGGGTTGCAGGCACACGCCATCATGCCCGTCTCCGAGTGTTTCAAGCGAGCGCTTTTATTCAGACCTAATGGGGGACAGGTGCGCCAAGGCACTGCTTACGGCACCCCACAGACCCACCCTTGACCCAGGGCGCCTGCCTCATGCCACTGTTGCTCTCTGGGTGGTCTCCCTGCCATCTGACCAGTGGCAGAGGACTGGCCTCAAGTCACAAATGTCAACTAAACCTTGATAACATGGCCGGCCGGTGGTGGCTCACACCTGTAACCTCAACAGGAAGCAGGCGATCTCTCTGAGTTCAAGGCCAGCCTGGCTGGTATACAGAGCTGTTACATAGAGAACCAAAAATCAAAACAGCCCCCCCCAAAAAACCAAGTGATATATGGCAGAAGAGTATGTGAAAGCAGTCTCCCATTCTTTGAATACTGTTTCCAGATAAGTGTGGGAGCACATGCCTGTGATCCCAGCATTTGGGAGGAAGAGGCAGGAGGATCAGGCATTTAAAACATCCTGGATAACATGAGACCTTGTCTCAAAACATACATGTGTATTTTTTTTCCTATTTCAAAAAATATTCCTTTAGTGATCTCACTGTTAGATGCTTTTAAATACTTAATGGATAATATGCTTATTCAATGCTGACCTAATCCTTAAAAAGAAAGGAAGAAAGGAAGAAAGAGAGAGAGAGAGAGAGAGAGAGAGAGAGAGAGAGAGAGAGAGAGAGAGAGAGAGAGAGAGAGAGAGAGAGAGAGAGAGAAAAGAAAAATCTGTGGATTAGCCATAGCAGCGGAGCATGCACTCTGGGTGGTTCTGTCGCAGATGGGATTAAGTAATGTCTTGGAGTAGGCCCAGTAGCGGCCCACACAGGACACATGAGCCAGGAGATAATCATTCGAAGCCAGGTGTCTAGAACACCGCAGTGAGCCTGGCACCCGGCAACACTGGCCTAGGAACCCTGCTCTGTAGGCATGGGCTCCACAGCTTGGAAACCCATTTGCTCGATCTAGGATTACAGCTGTAGGGTCATTTTTAAATGCACTCAAAGGTATGTCAAAAGTGTCATTCCCTGAGTTTACCTTGGTGGAGGTGCATTTAGAACAGAAGACAGGGAGATGTGGGCATGAGAACAGAAACTTAATGAGCCAGTTTAACTCCAAGCAGATATCTGGTACGTGGCAGCTACTGAAAGGTTGTTCGATCACAGATGACCTCTAAGGAAGAGTGGAAAGGCCAGAGAGTGGGATCCCAAGACCCTCTTCTTTCGGCCAGGGCCGTCGTGCTGCCACCCTTTACAATAGACACGAGCTGGGTATCCCTTTGACACATCCGGAGAATCCACGTGAAGCTGGGCAGCTGTGAGGCGCAAAGGGGAAGGGGCACTTCTGAAGGCAGTCCTAAGCAGCTTTCTGTCGGTCGTTTGGGCTCTGGCCCAAGCATCGTCGCTGACAATAGCTCTCCCACACTGCTCAGAGGAGCAGCCTTTTCCATTGGTAGCATTAACACCCTCATTTCACAGAGGACATTGGGGTACAGAGACTGACACTGGGAAGAGCAGTCATAGTCACCATGCTGAAATGGCTCAGGTTCACAACCCATGGAAGCCAGATGTGTGGAGCCACTTGGCACGGGTTCTCCCTGTATCCCAGACATGAAGGACGCGGTTCACCACTGAGTAAAAATGATAACTTGCTTTTTACTGAAGGATTTTAAATGAATAATTCAGTCTTAGTTTAACAAGAAAAACCCAAATAAATCCTATTCTCCAACTATGCCTGTCTGTCCTCTGCTCCCAGGCATCAGGGTTGGCTTTAAAGAACTGACAATAAAAGAACCCATCTTTTTATTCCTTTTACTAGTCTCCTCTTAACACACCTCGGGGCCCGCCACCCCAAAAGTATATTCAAATATTTTGAGCCTCAAAAATATTACTGTAGGCACTCCTTAATGCCCTTAATAGCCAACATTTCATTTATGTTGATTCCAGAAACTTGAGAAATCATCCTATCTTCTTTTACCCCTCTTTTTATTCCCCCCCCCCCACAGAAACCATCCATGCATCATTTAGAACATTTTAGGACCCAGAGATGCAAACTGAGGAGCAGTGTCTCTCCTCACAGAGGCCAACTGCATATGCTTGCTTCAGTCAAGTAAGAGCTCATGGACCACTAGTGTGAGAGCAATCGAGGTTTGGGGGCGTCCCCACCTCACTGATACTGCGGGAGCCTCCGTCATGGCCTTGTGCCTAGGGCAGCAATGACAGACATCGTTTGAAAGAGCCAGCTTTTGAAAATTAAACGAGTCAGAAGTAATTAGAAAGGACTTTAAGGGAAGGCCAGGGTATGACTCTGTCAGGTGGTGTGTTTTGCCTAAGAAGCAGGGATTTGACTGTTTACATTTTTTCCTTCAAGAAAAATGAAAATCAGGCAGACAGCCCTGCGAGACCCGGTGCGGTGCTAAGAAGGAACAGTCGTACAGAAACAGCTGCAGAGAGCCTCTCCCCTCGCGGGGCGCCCCCCTCGAGCGTAGCACCTAACCTTCTTGCTGTCATTACTTATCTCCATGTCTGTCTCCCCCTAGAGTGTGAGCTCCTCGAGGGCAGGAACCCTGTTTTTATCCATCTTTGTGTCCCGGTGCCAAGCACAGTGCCTGGCTCATGGTAGGTGCTCGCTACATGTTTGTTGAATGAATATAGCAGTGTTTCTTGGGTTGAACAGATAATTATTTGTTTTTAAATTATTATTATTATTATTATTTTGTATTTGTTGGGGTTTTTTGTTTGTTCTTGCCCGGTGTTGTAAATGCTTTTTGGTTTTAATTTAGTAGAGTCGAGAAAAGAAAACAGCTTCACTCAGTGTTTTTCCGCATTTACCCTTACTTTGTTAGGAACCACCCTTCGGTCATAGTGCAGCCTGGGAAGAGGCCTCTGCCTGTGGAGTCCCCGGATACCCAAAGGAAGCGGAGGATACACAGGTGTGACTATGAAGGATGCAACAAGGTCTACACTAAGAGCTCGCACTTGAAAGCACACAGAAGAACACATACAGGTAGGAGAAGCAACAGTGTTCTCCCTGGCCCTGGGGGAGGATAGGTGTGTGTGGTTAAAGTTGGTGGATCTACCCTTCAGAGCGTGGGAGAGTTTGACTGCCACAGTCTGAAAATCTGACATTCCAAATGCTCTGAGACTATAAGACTTTTACATTAATGTTATTATTATTATTAAGTTGTCTGTTTGTGTAGTAAGGCTGCTCTTGACTCAGGCCCTTCCGTGGACAGTATCTGAGTCTTATCAGGGAATATTCAGAGAGAGGAATCTGGGATTCAGTCAGAAAAAGAAAAGCAGTGGTTTCTGGTGAATCAGGAGGAGGAGGTTGCTGTATGAGGGGAGCTCCCAAACAGCCGTGACAGGTCAGCACATAAGTCATCTGCTAGGTGTGGATGGGACCCGAAGGGTGGAGCTTCACGTCTTCCCGTCTAAAATTATTGAGTCTTTGGATTCAGACATAGGTGTGTATGGGGTGAGCATGACAAAATACAGCCCAGAAATCCCTACACTTAATGCCAAGTGGGATTCTAGAGACAAGTGTCACTAAACAGGGACTAATTTATTACCTGCTATAGACTGGGTGTCCCTTACTCAGTACATGGCCTAAAGGTAACTTTTATACAGCATTTTCCTAACTGAGCATTGATGTGATTGTCACAAAAGAGAGCATCTGCTGCTAAGAAAGACTCACACAGCGTTTCGGATTTTAGAGCAGTGTTTCTCAACTTTCCGAATGCTGTGACCCTTGAGCAGTTCCTCATGTTATGATGACCCCCAACCATAAAGTTGTTTCAAAGTTACTTCATAACTGTCATTTCGCTACTGCTATGAATCATAATGTAAATATCTGTGTTTTCTGAGGGTCTTTGGTGACCCCTGAAAGGGTCAAGATCCACAGTTGAGAATCACTGTTTTAGAGTGTTCTGAATTTTGTACTAGGGGTGGCCAACTTGTATTATTGACTTTAATATAGTAAGACCAGCAGTGAGCCCTGCTTGTCTGTGAGGGTCTTCTTACTGGCTCTCACTAGCTTGTTCCCACAAGGGCCTTCAGTTCTTCACCTGTGAGTGATAACCCAGGAAGGGATGTGAAGGCAGAGGAAACTTACAGTTTCAGTACGTGGGGGCCTGAAGCACTGTGCTTGGCATCACTGTCCTAAGAAAATGGAATGTTGAATTCTTCAGTACCAGATAATCTCTCCCTACCCCCAACCAGCTAAGAGTGTTTTTGCAAACAGGAAAACATTGTTCAATAGGGAATTTATATTTTTAGAAAAGTATGGAAAGGCATAAGGAAAATCACAAGCTTTCAGCGGAATTACATTTAATCTCCCGAGAGTTTAAGGCTTGGAGACCTAGAGGTGTAGAATCCTGCTCCATGCTGGTCCCCCAGAATGGCACTTCCTGCCTTAAGAACTCCTTAGAACCCTGCCCCATTCTTTGTCTTTGCTTTTCCATAGAGAACGTTTGTTGCGTGCTTTTCCTATAGCGACTGTATTATTGAGAGTCACATGTATGAGTTTATCTTGAAAGTTGCATTTTCCAAGGGTTCAAAAATCTTAGCTTCTCTTTGTAACAGGAACAAAAAACCAATTCGGTTAAACTCCTTTTCCCTTCCTTGCAGGAGAAAAGCCCTACAAATGCACCTGGGAAGGATGCACATGGAAATTTGCTCGGTCAGATGAACTAACAAGACATTTCCGAAAACATACTGGAATCAAGCCTTTCCAGTGTCCGGACTGTGACCGAAGCTTCTCTCGCTCCGACCACCTTGCCCTACATAGGAAACGCCACATGCTAGTCTGAAAGCCTGTCTCCACTCCCTCTTCCTGGCACTCTGTCTCTGTCTCTGTTCCTCTCCTCCTGCCCATTATCTAACTCATTTTTATATGTACATTTTAATTTCGATTCAGCTGGTCTGAATCTCTGAATTTATATCATTCAAGACTTCCATATGGTCAGTAGTTGATTCTCTAACCCTCCCTTTCCTTACCACGGGTCAGACCTAAAGAATGTGAACATTTTTTTTTCCGGGGATGCTAAGCAAACCCTCCTTTATTACAGATGCGTTTAATGTAATGAGAACAAGGGAACATGTAAACTAACGACCAATTTGTCGGTTTCTCCACGTATTTCTCAAAAGAATGTCAGAGTAAATATATCAGAAATGCAGTATCCAGCCTGCTAGTCCTTGCCAGAGAGACCTGTATACCTCCGCCACATTTTGTGTTTGACAACGAAAAGAATGCGGTTCCTTTCACCAGTTAGCAAGATCCACAGAGATGTCAAGCTGGTCCTGTCCCCTCTGCCATTGCCTTCCCACTTGCTTGTTGGCCTGGATTACTAACTCCGCTGAATCAACTTCTTGGTCCTCTGTGGCGCCCGAAGCTCACGTGGATGCTTTGACCCCATAGGAGCTCAGCTGGAGCTTCAGCCGCAGGGGAGTCATATGCTCCCACAGTTCGGAAAAAAGCCGAAGACCCTAGGAGTGGAGGAGGACATCGGCGATTCCTGGCTAGAATTGTCCGGGCCATTAACATTAGTTGTGCAGTGCATCTGTTAAATGCCCATCCCCAGGCCTAACTCAACTCAGCAGACCCTTGCTGCAAAGCTGGGTACCCATTGGGTTATTGGTGCCTCTGCCTCCATCACTGCAGAATCCTTCATTGTGGATCACAAAGCCTTGAGAGTAAGGAATCCACAGAAATATTTGCCCGGTAATGTACAATCAAACAAAAACTTCTGAGACAGTACCAGATAATCTCTTCCTACCCCCAACCAGCTAAGAGTGTTTTTGCAAACAGGAAAACATTGAGTGGTACTTATAGTCCCATATCCAATTAGTCACATAGCTGTCCTATGGGGCTTTTTTGTGTGAGTTGTAATGGTGCCAAACCAGCTGTCATATGTGTCCATGACACATAGCATAAATGAGCGTCCACTAAGCTTGAGGGAAGTCATCGAATTAAGACCTAAGTGACACTATTTGTAAATATACCTAGTGTGAAGCACATAGATCTTTATTTTGGTGACAGATTTTTGAAAAATAGAGAAAACCACAATTCAGGGATTTATATATGTAGCTTGAAGATTCCCACAAGTTTCTGCCGGAGCTAGCAAGTTCCTGTCGCTACTATGTATCCTGTTAAGACAAACTAAAAACAATGACTCGTGTTGATGTTAAAGATGAATAGCACCATTATTGGGGGGGGGGCACTTTTTTTGTTATTTCGGGTTTTGGGTTTTTTTTTTCTTTTTTTGTTTTCAAAAGCAGGCTTTTGAACACCATAATCCAAACACCAATGAAAACAATCCACACGTAGAAATGCCATTGGTTATAAATTTGAAGAAAATGGGCACAGTGGTCACACAGAAATGCCATTGGCTATAAATTTGAAGAAAATGGGCACAATGGTCAGATGGTTGCATATGACCGACAACCCTTTCATCCCCACAAAGGATGAAGGAGAAGAGAGGAGAGAATCCTGGAAACTCATCCCAGCCACAACTCAGGATCCAACACAACTGGGAGGAACATGCTACTTGATTGTTCTTGAGCGTCGGTGAATCAGCGATGCTGGCGGCCTGCACTTCGCAGGGAGCTCGCTTTGATGGCACTATGTCGGGAGTTGTGGAGACTGCATGCAGGAGGTCCTGCTCAGTGCTGTGAGCCAGCTGAAGGGAAAATGAGTGAAAACTGTAAAGAAATGTTATCTTGGCACTTGGGTTCCTTTTCGTTCCTTTTTTAGAGCTGCAAAAAAGAAAATTATTCAGGTTATTAAAGCATGCTAATTAGGGTCTTGCTTCGCTCTTGTTTGCAACTATGGCATGAATCGAGGAGTGGAATGTCTCTTGGAAAAGCAGGGTCTCTATTGTCAGTGTTGAGTTACGCTCATGCCAAAACCATGTCTTGAAGTGGTTCTTCTGCGTCTCACTGAAGAATCCTGTCTGTTTTTGTTGTTTCAGTTTGTGTGTTTCAACCCAATGAGAAGGGGAAAGGGTGCAAGGAAGGACAGAATTAGCTTTGCTTCTGCTTTGCGCCGTTAATAGCTTCATGACGTATTTCAATTTTTTTTCAAAAGTCTATCACGTTACTCTAGCTTGCTTAGATCATGTTAACAGTTCCATTAGACCCATTTTAACTCTGAAAGGAAAGTAACCCAGAGAACCTATTCTCTGTTTCCATACTTTGTTCATTGGCCCTTATCAAATTTTCTTTATATGTATATGTATTTGTATTTTACTATGATAGTTGAGTAATTTAGTCTCTTAGCCCTTTTAGCTGTTTTGTGGAAGATGCACGATTAGATGCCTTGGAAACGCGATTTTTGATGACATGCTATCTGACTGTCAGCGGTGGTTCAATCACAGTGTTTTAAATTGATGAGAACAGGCTATAAACATGAAGTGAGCACCGTGTAAATTGTTACAGAGTTCACTCGATTACTGCTAAAGTCTCATCCTGGGGAAGTTAAAATTAAATCAGAATCTTGTGTTTTCCAGTGGGAGTGTACATCATTAAATGGGCATTTAGCAGTCTAAAGTCACTTGGTTTGGAGACTGTGGCACAGCTTTGTTTAACTAAGAAGATGTTAAATATGCAGATGTTTCAAGAGCCTTGGAACAGAAAGAACTACAGGGGAATGATATATGTATATGTATTTTGTATTAAACACCCACCTGCACTATCAGTATTGCACTAATGTGGAATTTGAGAGACTTGCTGATACTGTAATCTGCACACCATTCTTTAGATTGTTATAAAGACAATCTCAGAGATCAGAGGTTTTAAAGTAATTTGGTTTGAAAATAGAATTGTCTTGAAGGAATTGCTAACGTACATGAAGTCACTTGAGTTTTTCTTTATTCTCTTCTTGGTCAAGGTTAACAGTTTCTAAATGATTGCAAATTCACTTAAGTAATACATTTACAAAGCCATTTTACATGCATTAAACGAGGGCTACAACATGTTTTACAAATACTAGCACTTTTTTTTCCTGTTATGTACTTAGTGTTAGAGGGTCAGAATAACCTTTCTGCTTAGCATCTCTTAAACCCTACCTGCAAGCATAGCAGGGTTGTTGCATTTACAGTACTTTAATACTTGTATAAACTATGCAGAAATTTTTAATAAAGTGTAATATATTTTATAAGCTAATAAGACTGAATGGGTAAAGGTTTTTAGCATGCATTAGTATACTTGCAAATACTGAAACATTTTGGTAATCTTTCTTACTAAAGATGTGAATGTTTAAATGTACCTTCTCTGTTTCTACCCTGTAGTCCAATGGGAATTCAGTAATGACATTTTGTCATGTCAAACTGTGAACATAAATTTGTACTGTACAGTCCTCATATACTATATACAGTATGCAATATATGTATTATATACTTGTTAATAAAACCATCTGAATATTACACATGATCATGCGATTACTATAGGAACAAAGAAAAGAGTTGTAAAGTTTGAAAGTAAGTCACTGATGAGCAGTATTTTTAATGGTTAGAAAAGAAAGTAGATCTAGCCAGTAGATATATACCATAGGAGTGAAGAATCTTAAAGGGATGACCTAGTAACTTCTCGGAGAAAGGCTGAGCTTAAGCCATAAAACTGCAGACAAGCCGGCATTCATCTGTAAATCCATCCAGTACATACTAGACGTGTGTTGTTTCTCAACCCTCTCCACAATGCCTCTATGATTCTGCTTCCTTTTCTTAATCACAACTGATGTTCCGCTTCAGCAGATTAGCATCCATTGTCCTAGCAAAGCAGTTTTCACTCCAGTGGTGCTGGTCTCTTATTAATCATAGCCAATTCTTAAGCTCCAATTAACCAGAGACCACAGATTCTTAAAATATCACATAAAGGGCCCTGCTTTAAGAGACTCTGAAAGTCCACAAGCTACACCTCCATCATCTGCTTTGCTCTTAACACCTTCCCCCAATCTCCCACACAGTGGTCCACTGATACCTGAGCACTCAATCGTTTTTCCAGCCCACAGTACAATGCAGTATCAACATCTGTAATAGCAACACCTCACTCCTGGTACCAATTTCTGTCTTGGGGTTTCTAATGATGTGATAAGACTCCATGGCCATACACAATTTAAGAGAAGGATTTATTTATATGTCCATATCATAGTCCAACATTGAAGGAAATCAGGGCAGGAACTTGTGCAGAGGACAGAGTACTATACAGGCTTGTTCCCCGTGTCTTGCTATGCCCACTTACGCAGCATCCAGAATCATCTGCCCAGGGTTGGCTCCATATATAGTGAGTGAGCTTAGGACCCTCACAGCAACCATCAATCAAGAAAATGTCCTTAAGGTTTGCCTAAAAGTCAATCTTGTGGGTACCATTTTCTCAGTTGAGGTTCCCTCTTTCCAAATGACTAGCTTGTGTCAGTAGACATAAAACTGGTCAGCACAATCTAGTGTGTTCCCTAGAAGAACTTGTGCTAGAGAGCAGTTCTTCAGTGCAGCACTGTTGGAGATGGGCCCTAGTGAGAAGTACTTGGGTCACAGGGTCAGCGCTCCCAACCCCTTAAGCTTTTCTCATGTGTCTGCATTAATTCCTGGAAGACTGGGTTGATTATCTTAAGGGTTGCAAAGCAATCCTGTCCTTTTTTTTTCTGTTCCACACATGCTCACTTCCCTTCCTGTTCTAGCCTGGCTCTGAGTTAAGAAGCTGCCCAGGGCCTTCACTTGATCTTGGACTTCCCAACCTCCAGAACTGTGAGACAAAATTTTGTTTTTATGAACTTTAAACCCAGTCTCAGGGACTGCATTACAGCAAGACTAGAACTTCCAAAATGTAAAATGCTTTATTTTTTTTCCTCTTAAAAATGTTGTGGGGACTATAGAGATAGCACGGTTAAGAGCACTGGATGTTCTTCCAGAGGACCCAAGCTCAATCCCCAACTCCCTCATGGCAGGTCACAGCTGTCTATAACTCCAGTTCCGGGGGATCTGGCATCCCCACACAAAGATGTACATGCAGGCAAAACACCAATGCACATAAAAATAAATCTTTAGAAAAAGATGTGGAGGGAGGAAAGGGAGGGGAGAAATGATATTACATTACAATCTCAAAGATAAAATTACCGACACACTCGAAATTTGTTAACATTTACGTGTGTGTGTGTGTGTGTATGTGTGTGTGTGTGTGTATACATGCCATTGCTCACACATGGAAGTACAAGGACAACTTGCAGGAATTAATTTTCTCCTTCCACCCTGGCTGTCCTGGAACTCACTCTGTAGACCAGGCTAGCCTTGAACTCACAGAGATCTGCCTGCCTCTGCCTGCCATGTGCTGGAATTAAAGACATGCCATCATACCTGGCTATCCTCTAGGTTTTTAATCAAGGATTAAACCGGATTCACACCTTAGCAAGTCAGGAATAGACAATAAGAGCTTCAAAAAGTAAGCCTGGATAAGCTTGACTTTTCAAGCCTTTAATGGCCATGCTATAAAAACAGCAGGTAGTTTCTGATTAGAATTTAGAGCTCTTTTTAAAAAATTACATTACTTTATTGTGTGTGTGTAGACTCACACTTGTGCCACCGAGTTCACATGGTGGTCAGAGGACAACTTAAGGAAGTCAGGTCTCCTTCCAGCATGTGGGTCCAGGAAATAGGACTCAAGTCTTCAGGTTTGTCAGCACTGAGCCATCTCGCCTAGAGTTCTTTCTATTTAAGACAAAATAGAATAATCTCCCATCTTCTCCCATACTCTCTTTACAACAAATTTAGCCATTACTTTCCTGTCACTGTAGAGATCAAAGTATTTGACAGAAGGGGAAAAAGGCTTCTTGTAGATCATCCTTTCAAGGGTTTCAGTTCTTCGTTGTAGGGAAGGCATGACAGCTCATTTAGTGAAAGCACACAGAAGAAGCTTTCACATGGTGGATGGAGGAAGGAAGCAGAGTACCCTGAAATCGGGACCCAACTATAACCTCTGAAGGTCCATTCCCATAATGAATCCTGTCAGTGAGGCTATATTTCTTAAAGGTTCCACTGCCTCCCAAAATAATGCACCAAATGGGGAACATGTATTGAAAACATGAACCTTAGGGGACACGTCAAATTCAAACCATCACATTCATACTCAAAGACTCATGGCCATCCCATAATACATGAGGCATTTAGTCCAACTTCTAATTGGTCTTGAAATCCTAACAGTTCCAAAAGTTAGAAAAGTCCAGATTCTCTTCTGAAACTCAAGGAAAAATTTTTAATTGTGAATTTTTAAAAAATGAAGAAATTATATACTTCTATACAATGCCAGAGTAAACATTCCCATTCCAAAAAGGGAAAAACAGGAGAATTGGAAGCAAATATCCAAGACCTAGGAGAGTAAACATTAAATCCAACAGGTCTGTGTCTAGTACCCAGGGTAGATGGTGGCATCATTCATACTCTAACAGACTCAGGTAGCCTTGGCCCATTGACCCCACCCATGGTGCAGCACACATGGCCTCTGTTGGATTAGCTCCACTCAGTTCTTTGTAGCTTTCTTCAGTCATCCCATGTTCCTGGCATCTCAACCTAGGGTCTCCATTGCTACTTCAGCTTTTCCATCAGTATTTCACACATAGTGTCTTGGTTAAGATTTCTATTGCTGTGAAAAGACAACATGACCATAGCAACTCTTATAAAGGAAAACATTCAATTGAGCGGAATACAGTTCAAAGATTCAGTCCATTATCATCATCATGGGACATGTCAGCATGCAGGCAGGCATGGTGCTAGAGAGGGAGCTGAGAGTTCTACATCTTGATTCCATAGGCAACAGGAAATGAACTGAGACACTGACTGTAGCTTGAGCATAGGAGAACTCAAAGCCTGCCCCCCCAGTGACATACTTCCTCCAACACTGCCACACTTACTCCAACCAAGACAGATCTCATAATAGTGCCACTCCCAATGAGCTTATGAGGGCCAATTACATTCAAATGATCACACATAGCTTATTCTAGAACTCCGCGCATGGACTCTAACCCCACTACACATTGCCTAGCCTCCCACACTTTTTTCAAAAAAAAATTGGGGCAAGCCTCCATAAATAACCCTATAACTCTAGTGTTCTACATTCCTAAAATCCAGAACCACATGGAACATGAAGTTCTGCCAGCTTAAATAGTAAACAGAGCCTATTGGATGATGGTTGCAGCACCTCCTGAGTGTTTGTCTTGCTGAATGCAGGAAAGCACTCCTTTGGTGGCCCTTTCCCAGTAGGCAATCTGAAGAATCTCTCTTTTCAGGCACTAAAGGAAATTCTTTCAAATTAGTTCTGTGTTCACATCCTATAACCTTCAATGAATAGGTACCTCTCTTATTGTTCCACTATATGCTCTAATCTCTTTGCTAATCTCTTTAAACTACCCCTATTTTGTCTTGTCCACAGCTACAGACACATTCACACTTCTTGTCTTTGCCAAATTGTATGTTTTTTTTTCAAATCCTGCTCCCAATTCTCTTTGTAAATCTTTTTATTTCCAATTCTAACTGTAAATCTTGCTGGAAGCAGCCAGTGGTAACCGTGCCACAGCCATACTGTTGTGTTGTCTTAGCATTTGCTCCACCAAGATGCTTAGTCCATTACTTTTTGATTTGTTTTTGGTTGTTTTTTGTTTTGTTTTGTTTTTGTTTTTTCAAGAAGGCTTTCACTATGTAACTCTGGCTTTCCTGAAAAAAACCATGATGACCTTTCACTCACAGAGACCCACCTGTGTCTGCCTGCAGAGTGCTGGGATAAATGCATGCACCACTACCTCCTGGCTTAGTCCATTACTCTTGAATTCAGCCTCACTCAAATGTTCAGCACTTGGACAAAACACAGACAAATGTTTTGCCACATTTGCCACAGTGTAATACAATGGTGTCTAATCCAATTCTCAGAGTTTTTGTTTCCATCTGAAAACTTGTGGGGAGTCTTTATTATCTTCATTTCTACTGGTTTTCCAGTCTTCCAAACTCATTAAGCTAACTTATAGTGTTCTTTAGCCCATACCTCCAAACTCTTCTGTGTTCAACTTGGAAACCAGTTTCTAAGAACCACACAGCCAGGCTTATCACAGCAATGACCCTCCCTACTGATACCATTTTTTCTTTTTTCTTTCCTTTTTTTTTTTTTTTTTTTTTTTGGTTTTTTGAGACAGGGTTTCTCTGCGTTGCTTTGGACAACTCATGGAACTTGCTCTGTAGACCAGGCTGGCCTCGAACTCACAGAGATCCACCTGCTTATGCCTCCCAAGTGCTGGGATTAAAGGCGTGCACCACCAACGCTCAGCTACCATTTTCTTTATTAGTTATTGTTGCATTGCTGGCAAAATTACCTGGAAGAAAACAAACAAACTTAAGGGGTGAGTAAATCTTTTGGCTCATGGTTGCAGAAGGTTTTTGTTCACCGTGAT